AGCGCTGCCAACACATAGTGTTTGGTAGGCCAAGTGGCAGGACCTTTCTGACACATCTCTAAGCGGTTGACCGCAACAGAGCCGGCCAGCTAACCAATCAGAGCAGACTGGGCTCTGGTTTCAGACAGAGGGTGAAAAGAGGTGCTGCAGCACAGGCAGAAAAAGAAAGAGCTTTTTGAACATTAAAGAATGGAGACATGTCACAGTAGAGACACTACATACTGATATGAAGCTGAACATGAGCATGACGGGCTCCTTTAAGCAGATGTGATTTTTTGTCATTTGGATGAGGGACTTCAGGAACAGAAACTAGAATTTCCAGCAGTCTATTTTGGAAAACTATTAAGATTATTGACAAATATGATCTACTTGCTTCATCTGCTTGTATTTGGTCTGGAATGATTCCATTAAACTATTCTGGTGTAGCAGTAGAAGGTATTCCTAAATAGTCATTTTCAGGATTTGGTAAGTTCTTCTAGCTGGCTCTGTAGATATTTTGGAGAGTTTTTTACCAACTTAAAGGACCGCAACAGAGACAATAAATGGTAGCTTTAATGCTGGAGATCTGACCTGGCTTTAAATGCTCATTTATATTCAACTAATGCTCAGAATGAATGTGATGTTTGAGTAGTTGCTTCAGAGACGATAGCTGAGTTTAATGTATGTCCTACTACTGTACTGGCAGCCAGGAGTGTGTGTGAGCCTGTGGATAGGGGAGAGAGGGAGAGAGATGGAGTCAGTGGGGCTCATAGGCCTCCAGCACAGAGATCCATGTCTCTGTTTCCTGTCTATCTGGCCAACACAATAAGCACACTAATGCTCCCTAATTGCTAACACACTTCCCGGATCAGCGCCACTCTTCACCAGAAAAGATAGTCTTTCTTCCATTCACCGGAGCCCATGTATCTGTTTGGCTTTTCAGATATCTGATTAACTATTTGAATAGGTAAACAGTAATTATGATGCATCCCTTTATTTAGTAAAGTCCTAAATTAATGATAATAGTAATGCATCATTTTGTATTAAACATCTGTTATGTATCATACTATTACTTTCGTTTTCTGAGTTGTTCTAGTTTTAGTGGCTGAGTTGGAGATACATCTGAGCGCTGAGACTCCATCTGGCAGTTTTTTGGTCAGCATATTATTACAGCATTTACTGTTTGAAGAGGTCTGTTATATTCCACCTGCATGCTGTAATATTCACAGCACAGAGGCATTTGTCCGCAGCCACATCACACAGCAGCAAACACTAGCTGTTTGAGGTTTTGAAGAAACATGCAAACACACATCTATACAATAGTGTATTAGGGCCATTGTAGCTATACAAAAATATATATTGGTGATTCAACTATTCTGAGAAAAAAAACACTTGGAAAATTGTGTGGGGGGATCCCAATATAAACCAGACCTTCCAGACCTTCACTAAATAATGTTAAATAAAAGTATCTGGTCAGGATTCCTTCACCTTATCTTGCCTGGTTCACATGTTCCTTGGCGTTCACCAGAAAGAGCAGAGAACACTTTCTACCACACAACTGTAAATATGCACATAATGATGGTGATAAACTCTCACTTTTCTGGCACCTCCTCCTTGAGCTCTGATTGGTGCATATTGTGAAAGACAGAAGTTATAATTGATCAGGCTCCAACATGTAGCCTGGCATATCTCTCTGCCAAGTTACAGCAGTGACAACATGATCACCTAATCTGACCCATTGACCATCCCAAACTGTACAAATATCACGTCGCCTGATCCCGTGATTAGACTAAGCACCAACTCTGGAAAACTGTGGACTGTAAGCCTGTGATGCTTCACCATTTTTGAGAGGGCAATTTTACTTGACCTATATTACACATGATCACCAAAGACTATTTATATATAAAAGTATTCAGTCAATGTGAAATCATCCAGACTAATAAAGTAAGAATGTGTAGAGCAATCGAAGAATCAACATCACATGCAGCTGGAGAACTGCTTAAACCTTCTGAGAGGTGGGGGGGGGGGGGGGGGTTAGCAAGATAATGATGTCTTTTGGGTTTCAGCTAAAGAGCCGGTAAGAGGCCATGTACACTAGCATGTATAATGCATTAGAGGGTCAACCTATAGTGCTCTCTGGAGCATGAAATGTAAGGACCATTATAAACCTCCATCCTATGAATGAGACCACCATGACTGTGTATCAATTAAAGGTTTTCCTTTCATGTAGTTTGTTATAAAGCTTTTTGTGCATGTAAATGGTCTGCAAAGGCTCAAATCTGTGTGTTCCTTCCAGAGGGAGTTTCTCTCCCACACACTCTACCCCCCCCCCCCCCCCCCTGCCTGAAATGTCTCCATTGAACTCCTTTGTTTACTTCAGCAACATAGTGACATCATTATGTAACACTCTCGCTTCTTTTGGCTAGCGCTCCAACACATTGTACGTGATAGGCTAAGGGGCGAGATATCTCTAATGCGTCAACCAATCACAACAGAGCCGGCCAGCTAACCAATCAGAGCAGACTGGGCTCTGGTTTCAGACAGAGGGTGAAAAGAGGTGCTGCAGCACAGGCAGTATGAGAGAAATAAAGAGCTTTTTGCAGCATGGAAACTATAAAGCCTGGAAACATGTTTTGACCAAAATATTGCACTTGAAGACATCGCAAAGACTAAAACCAACTGCTAACTAGCACAAATGTTCTGCGGTTACTTGTAAGGATATATCTCTCCACACCAGCAGGGGGCAGTAAGCTTTATACGTCATTCAAAAAGGGAAACAGGGAAAACATCAAGCTGTGCAAACAAAGCAGGGTTTCCCCACCATTTTTACAAACCACTTAGCTTTCTTCCAGAAACTATCGTGTTTTGTAATGATCGGATGATATAAAGATGAAAACTGAAAAAAAGGTTTCTGTGTATAACCTCTTGTATTTAGTTGCATGTTTTTCTGAAGTCTGTATCTCTTTTGGCGCATTTCCACTACACGGCCTCGCTCGGCCCCGCTCGGTATGGCTGGGCCTCGTTAGGACTGGCTCACTTTATGGCGCATTTCCATTACAGTTTAGGAACTGGGGTAGTATCTATAGTAACGCAGTGTAGGCGGAGCCGTGACGTCATCTTCAATGAGAACCCCATAAAAACAACACAGCCGTTAGCTGTTAGCACTCAGAGCTCACTGCTCCTCATATCTGTTCAGAAACTAGACAAAAGTTAAACAAGTACAAACCACCGACTGCCTGTGTCATGGTGAATACAGTCGCTGCTTTATTTATGTCTGTATAGGCCGTTGTTGTGAGTGTGGACGGTCGGAGCATATACTGCGTTAGCTTAGCCAATCTCCATTTAGAAAACACGCATTTTAAAAGGTTTTTCGCCTGCCGTCTGTCTGCAGACTTGACAAAGCATTAATTCATGGTTTTTACTAATCGGTATCAGTATGTTGTTACTTCGGCATCATTTTGAAACGTGTATTACAATTAAATCACGGTCAAATATGTCCATCTTGTTGTAGTTGTAGCCCCCTTGCCAGCGATGCTCTCTCTAGTTTAGCATACTCAGCCCGACTCAGCCTTGACCCTGGCCCTAGACCCGCGATTTTATGAGGCCAGAAAAACTGTGAATTAGGACCCGCTACCCGGTACTAGGCCAAGTGGAAACGCAACCAAAGACGGGCCGCTGACGTCACAGCCCTCTTAAACCGTGCTGCGCGCTGTAGTGGAAACGCGCCATTTGTGTATTAATTAGCTTAAGCTGAACAGCCAATCAGAGTCATTTCTCTTGGCGACAAGCTATGCTGGCGATTCAACGTGCTGAATCATCCAAAAAGTTGTCGACAGTGTGGGACATTCCACATAACACTAAGCTCACGGACACTCAGGGAAGGCCCCACATTTTCAAATTTCCGACTGTCGTCTTTTTGTGTCAGGGCCTTAAGCTGTAGTCATGAGCACTGAGGACACATACTGTAGTCATGAGCACTGAGGAAACATATTTTTCAAAGCAGAAAAAGAAGCTCTTTTATCCGCGATAGCTTCCACAACAGCCTCAGCCGTTTCTCAGAACGCTCTCACACACGGATGCAGTCAGACTGTACTAACTGAGTTTTCTAATTGCCCTACAGAGCGTCCCTCTCCATTAGGCTTTGGGTCAGCTGGGAGGAGTGTGATGGTTCCCGAGCTCCCTGCGCACACACACACACACACACACACTCTGACAGCCATGCCTCAGAGATACTCCCACCAGAGGAGGAAAGCCAGCACAGCAGCTGCTAGGAGGATGGAGAGAAGACGCAGCGATCAGGGGAGAAGCAACAGCAGCCCCCCCAGTACCCCCAGCAGCCACCACCAGCGCTCCAAGAAGCTGGCCATGCTCTCCAGGTACGCACCCCCCCCACCTGGCTCACTGTTAGGGCGGCGCAGGAAGCTACAGACACTTAGGTTAGGTTAGTCACACTTCATTGGCAGAAATAACATGTAACTTTCTTCACATGCTGATGCAAATGCTTATTATTTAAAGACTTAGATTTGTATTCTCCCAAAGGGGAAATGTATATCTGCGCATAAGTATTTCTTCACAAAACTGCATACAACAACAAACATGTGTACAGAAAACAACAGCGTTATTGTGATTAGCAAGCTATGGAATTTAGCACCATTACTACTTAACTTATTCAATCTGGGGGTGGTCAGGGTCATGCGCTATTGGGAATGCTGAGCGAGTGATGGCTGGTAATTTGAATCTGATATTAGTCTTCAATATGCTCCATGTTTATTACTTTTTTCAGTTTTATGTTCTGACAAAAATTCTGTTGCAAGAATTTAAAGCTTTACTTCTTCAGCTTTGCCATTCCTGTCATGGAGAACACTCTCTGACTTCCACTGACTCCGTCCAGGTCTCTGATCCTCTGTCACTCTAAGACCAATGATGATTGTCTGGAAGAGGGGCATGCTGGGGAAGTGTCACATGGGTGCAGGACGTGGGGCCCGGGGGGGAGGACGGACGGGACTGTTGGGGATCAAACACAGTACGGAGACTCAGAGGATGGACACTGGAGGACAGCTCTGGAGAGAAGAGGAGGCACGGAGGCAGACCATAGCGTCACACTCAGGGAAAATAAAAGGAGCCTCAGGAGGTCCTTCAGCATCAAGGTACACTGCATGAGTTTACACTGGTGACTCATCAATAGTGATCAAATGCTTTAGTACTTCATCTAAGCATATTCTCAAACCAAAGTAAAGTCTTTCCGACCCTTGCTTTACTTTACATGTGTTGCCTTAGTTGTAATTATTTATTATGTTTATTTTGTTATGTATTATAAATATTAAACTGGATTAATTTAACTTTAATATGTAGATATATTATTTTAGGCCATTTAACATAACTGACTTAATTTGGTTAAGTGTAAATATCTCTTGTTGATCAGACGTTGTTTTTTATGTCGGCTCAATTCACAATTATTATGGTGGCTGGAAGTCTTTGCCAGGCGACAGACCATGGATTGAAGAATTTGAGAGAAATAGGTGTGAGGCAGATATTAGAAAGCTATCCATGTTGAAGGGATAATTGATTGTTGTTTCCAAATACTGATCGATTTGAAAAAGGAAGTTGGCTTGCTACAAGTTTGTTTCTCTCATAATCAACATTTTTACAGTTTGCATTGCTCAAATCAAACATTTCAAAATCACATGTTACTTAATTTTCCCTTTGTTGTGAGTACACATTATGCAAAGCATAATAACCCTAACCCCTTGCAATGCAAGGGGCAGTCTAGCATATGGTTAAAGAAAACGTCCATATTTGCAAGTTGTATTTATTCGGAAAGCTCCAATGTATCTGAATTGGAGCTTAAGAATATTGTACAGCATGCTGACTAAACAAATATGCCCCCGGTCCATTGTTCCAGATGATTTAAACCAAATAGAGTCATTTACTTTTGTTGAACCAATGAGTCAACCAAGGCAGCCCTAATAGTGATGACTTAAATCATTCATATATAAACAAACTAACAAGTCCAAAAAAAGGTGAATGGGTGATTTATTCCTGTCAACAGATGGACCCGGAACATCCACTATTTAATATACCGTTATCAAAGAAAAAACAGGATATTGTACAAATGTGTGTTTTGTGTATCCTACAAAGTGTCAACATGCAAACGCTGCGCTATGCACACTACTGGCTGTGTGTGCGTGCGTGCGTGCGTGTGTGTGTGTGCGTGCGTGTGTGTGTGTATGTGTATGTGTATGTGTGTGTGTGTGTGTGTGTGTGTGTGTGTGTGTGTGTGTGTGTGTGTGTGTGTGTGTGTGTGTGTGTGTGTGTGTGTGTGTGTGTGTGTGTGTGTGTGTGTGTGTGTGTGTGTGTGTGTGTGTGTGTGTGTGTGTGTGTGTGTGTGTGTGTGTGTGTGTGTGTGTGTGCGTGCGTGCGTGCGTGCTTGTGTGCTCTGGCTGACCTGAATGTTAAAACTTGAGACAAAGACAGGGCTGTGCTGTTTCGACAATTGTTTATCTGATAAATGATACTCACATTTACATCTGATCAAATGAGCCAATCGGTTACATGTTTGTAACTTCAAATAAAGTTAAATGACAATAACTGACAAATAATACGTCTCATAAATATAGTAATCCAATGAAAAAATCTCATTGCTTTTTGTTGAGGGACCCCATTGCTAAGTCTACAAAGATATTTAATCAATGCACCACTCTATTGGCTTAGAAGTTTCCAATAACATATAATAATAAATACATGTGCAAATCAGAAATAACTCAAAAAAGTTTCTCTTCCTATAGCCCTACAGATATATTAACCATAAGAAACTGAGATTTCATGTCGATCATAGTGAAGATGTTAAAGTGGACCTATCATGCTATATTTGAATAATATAGTGTAGGACCATACCTATATAAGGCATATTTATACTTTTTTTTTTTCAAAATACCAAACAGATCATGCATTTTAGCCATGCCTCATTTTGCTCAATTTGACATTTTTTAGATCTGTTTTAGCAAGGGTTGATTCTGTGAGCAACAGCACCACCTACAGGCCTGGCATATGTACTACAGCGTCTCCAGCGCTTTCGAACGGCAATGCCGTGGTTGTCTCCTCCTGATTGGTGGAGTTGGCCCAATAGCCGTAGCGCCACTGTCCTGACGTCAGGACAGTGTTCAAATCTGGATCAGTTTTTATCAGATCCGTTGCAGCCCCTTTTTTAGAGATTTGGGTATGGAGGAAAATAGAGAGGGTTGTGTTTTCTGACACTTGGTGAGTTCCCTGGAACACCGGGGACACATATTCATGTAGAAAAGACGTACACAAGTGCATTTTGCATGATAGGTCCCCTTTAAGCTGGCTGTTGTCCCACTTCATGACTGCTAAACTCTCCTGACCAAAGCTGAGCTCCACAGTCCCTTAATGGAGCAGGGCTTCCCCTCTGGGGCAAATTCACACCAGGTCGAACATCAATCACTTTTAATCACCAACCAGACACTAACGTTATTACATACAGACATGTCCATTTGGAGTTTATGTTGAGACTAAATAATTTACAGTCAAAGAGACATTTGTGAATAATGTCTTTGTAAATACAGCTATGTTGTCATAAAGGGCATTATTTAAACACATTTAAGTTTTCATGCTTATCAATTATTGGATTTCTTTGTTTCTCATGCATTAAACATCCATGTGATTGCTCCATTCAAATAGTAATTGACATAAAGAAAATACCTTAGTACACATTTTGAGAGCACAACCACTCTGTCTTTATAACATTTGTTTGATAATCTGATCACATGTCACCTCAAGAACTATGAGAACATGCTCAAAACACTGGGGCCCAGTTTAAGACCTTAGGGGAGAGCAGGGTAAGACAGTGGGTAAGTTGACCCCTTTATCTAAAGAAAATGTGCACATTTGTAAAGATGGTAAAAACAAGGAAATTGGTCAATTTTTCCCCAGATGGTTCAATTTACCCCTTATGTGGATTAATTTACCCCTTGGATGGGACAAGTTAAGCCTTTTTTTTGAGAAGTCATATTTTCATGGCCCTTTGTGATGGATGCATTATTTTCACTTTGATTGACAGAAGACATCCTGAAGTAAAGGCTGTTGTTGTCATTTTACTTCCATCTCATGAGGACAACATAAGTAAGGATCGGCTCATCTTACCCACTCTCCCCTACTGCTGTTGCCACCGCACAGCCAGATGTTTGATAAGCTCATACAGCTTGCGTTCTACTCCCAGTATAGAGGTTACTTGTTCACTGTTTCACTGTAACTGATGTGTGTGCCCATACAGGAGAGCAGTATCTGGAAGATGTGTGTAGCCACAGGGCCGGCTGAGGAGGTATGTGGGCCACAGACGGCTGATAACAGTGTCCAGACAGAAGACAAAGACCCTAATGTGCCAGGGAGGAATGGAGAGACCACACAGAGGTAATAACACACAGCAACACACCGCTAAGCACTTCAAGGTCAAAGCTGCACTTTGGGTAGAATTACAAAAACTTCATTCATATTAGGTGAAAAACTGTGCAAAATGTGCAACATGAGAGTCATGAAGGTTATGTGAACTACTAGTGTTATCCAGCTGCTCCACAATAACTGATCACTTTCCTACCAGGCGTTTTAAATAAAAAATAGGCCTGTGTTAAATCAGTGCAAAGGACTGCGTAGGGGGGGTTGTGTGGCCATTGTGAAAACAATGGATGAATGTAATCTCATCCTCCTCATAATATTTGATAGCTTTTCCTAGTATTTTAATGCAGAATGTTCACTAATGGTTAACTTTGTAATACGTTTCTGTTGGGAACTGTTCAGGGTTAGGTTTAGGCAACCGAAGCACTTGGTAAGCATTAGAAGAAAGATGTTTTGTTTATGCAGTAAGGTTTTTCTTGTGTTTCTGTGTCCGTATGCTTTCTCTTCAGACGCTGCAGCTTCCTGAGCCCAGACAAGCTGGCTCCCTTTAACGGACACTTTCTAAACGGCAGTACTTGGATTGCAGGGGAGGCGATGAGGAGCGTTCACATAAAAGCCTTCAGTGAGGTAATTCAAGCTAACAGATGAAATTGACTCCATGGCATTTTCTTCCTCTTTTCTCGTATTTTTAGGAAAACACCAAACTACTGTCTACAGTACATGAAGCATACTCCATTGATATTGACTCATTAGATATAGAGCTTTCGATATGAGCACATTTTGTCTTTGACCTGCTCCAGCAGATAGCTGCACATTCTGTGTGTTTAATCATTTCAGCAAACTTAAGTTGAATTTTGATAGGGTTAACTTACTATCTCATTATAATGACTTAGCTATCTCATTATTATGACTTACTATCTCATTATTAGGACTTAGCTATCTCATTATTATGATTTAAGCCGACTACCAGCAAGTCAAAGCAATACACTAGCTAGCTGTAAGCAATCCTGATTTTGGAGCACTCCTGAAGAGATTACATTGTTTCTGCTCTTGCCACACGCCAAAGCTTGTTATTTTGTAGCTTCCTCTGTAGTGTCCGTAGGCTTAGTTTAATATTGTGTGATTTCCAAAACCACTAAAATGTCCTTATTTGTGAATCCGTGTCTAAAGTAGTCTTCAATTATAGTATCCATTAGTTCAGCTAAGTGTGTCCCACACACTTGCTTCTGTTGCTTTGGTGTAAAGGGATGAAAGCTCATTTAAAAATTGCTCTTATATGATAGTAAGTCATAATAATGAGATAGTAAGTCATTGTTGTAGAAATGTATCATTAAATCTAATTTAATCATAAGTATTACTGTAACTTCATTCTCTGTTTATTTCCAACGGTTTGAATTCACATCTAGCCTCTAATTTCCACTTGCTTAGAACAAATAAAAGGCTGTCTCTACAACCATTGGTTTGTAATGAACATGTATGTGAGTTTCAACCGTCTGGCCAAATGTTTTCCTGTAATGTATATTGCATAGCTGTATGTAAGTTTCAACCATTTGGTCAACACTTCTTGTATATTTGCTTGCTGAGGACCTTCCCCTTCCCTCCTTCTGTAGTGTATAAAGTGTATGTATTTTCTGTTGTATGTTGTCAAATCTTCTACAAACCTTTTAGTGCAAGACTCTGTCCTTTCAGCTGAAATAGATTAACTCTGTTAAATGCTTTTGGACTTTTATTGACTTTATTAAATAACAAAACGTTGCTTTAAACTTCTATTGTTTGTTCATTTCTTGCCAAACAGGTTGTTTCTGTTTTTTAAGTGGAATTTCATCCACAGTTATAATAATGAGATAGCTAAGTCATTATAATGAGATAGCTAAGTCATTATAATGAGATAGCTAAGTCATTATAATGAGATAGCTAAGTCATTATAATGAGATAGCTAAGTCATAATAATGAGATAGCTAAGTCATAATAATGAGATAGCTAAGTCATAATAATGAGATAGCTAATATGAGATAGCTAAGTCATAATAATGAGATAGCTAAGGCATAATAATGAGATAGCTAAGTCATTATAATGAGATAGTAAGTCGTAATAATGAGATAGCTAAGGCATAATAATGAGATAGCTAAGTCATTATAATGAGATAGTAAGTCGTAATAATGAGATAGCTAAGTCATAATAATGAGATAGCTAAGTCATTATAATGAGATAGTAAGTCATTATAATGAGATAGTAAGTCGTAATAATGAGATAGCTAAGTCATAATAATGAGATAGCTAAGTCATTATAATGAGATAGTAAGTCGTAATAATGAGATAGCTAAGTCATAATAATGAGATAGCTAAGTCATTATAATGAGATAGTAAGTCGTAATAATGAGATAGCTAAGTCATAATAATGAGATAGCTAAGTCGTTATAATGAGATAGCTAAGTCATAATAATGAGATAGCTAAGTCATTATAATGAGATAGTAAGTCGTAATAATGAGATAGCTAAGTCATAATAATGAGATAGCTAAGTCATTATAATGAGATAGTAAGTCGTAATAATGAGATAGCTAAGTCATAATAATGAGATAGCTAAGTCATTATAATGAGATAGTAAGTCGTAATAATGAGATAGCTAAGTCATAATAATGAGATAGCTAAGTCATAATAATGAGATAGCTAAGTCATAATAATAAGATAGCTAAGTCATAATAATGAGATAGCTAAGTCATTATAATGAGATAGTAAGTCGTAATAATGAGATAGCTAAGTCATAATAATGAGATAGCTAAGTCATAATAATGAGATAGCTAATATGAGATAGCTAAGTCATAATAATGAGATAGCTAAGTCATAATAATGAGATAGCTAATATGAGATAGCTAAGTCATAATAATGAGATAGCTAAGTCATAATAATGAGATAGCTAAGTCATTATAATGAGATAGCTAAGTCATTATAATGAGATAGCTAAGTCATAATAATGAGATAGCTAAGTCATAATAATGAGATAGCTAAGTCATAATAATGAGATAGCTAATATGAGATAGCTAAGTCATAATAATGAGATAGCTAAGGCATAATAATGAGATAGCTAAGTCATTATAATGAGATAGTAAGTCGTAATAATGAGATAGCTAAGGCATAATAATGAGATAGCTAAGTCATTATAATGAGATAGTAAGTCGTAATAATGAGATAGCTAAGTCATAATAATGAGATAGCTAAGTCATTATAATGAGATAGTAAGTCATTATAATGAGATAGTAAGTCGTAATAATGAGATAGCTAAGTCATAATAATGAGATAGCTAAGTCATTATAATGAGATAGTAAGTCGTAATAATGAGATAGCTAAGTCATAATAATGAGATAGCTAAGTCATTATAATGAGATAGTAAGTCGTAATAATGAGATAGCTAAGTCATAATAATGAGATAGCTAAGTCGTTATAATGAGATAGCTAAGTCATAATAATGAGATAGCTAAGTCATTATAATGAGATAGTAAGTCGTAATAATGAGATAGCTAAGTCATAATAATGAGATAGCTAAGTCATTATAATGAGATAGTAAGTCGTAATAATGAGATAGCTAAGTCATAATAATGAGATAGCTAAGTCATTATAATGAGATAGTAAGTCGTAATAATGAGATAGCTAAGTCATAATAATGAGATAGCTAAGTCATAATAATGAGATAGCTAAGTCATAATAATAAGATAGCTAAGTCATAATAATGAGATAGCTAAGTCATTATAATGAGATAGTAAGTCGTAATAATGAGATAGCTAAGTCATAATAATGAGATAGCTAAGTCATAATAATGAGATAGCTAATATGAGATAGCTAAGTCATAATAATGAGATAGCTAAGTCATAATAATGAGATAGCTAATATGAGATAGCTAAGTCATAATAATGAGATAGCTAAGTCATAATAATGAGATAGCTAATATGAGATAGCTAAGTCATAATAATGAGATAGCTAAGTCATAATAATGAGATAGCTAAGTCATTATAATGAGATAGTAAGTCGTAATAATGAGATAGCTAAGTCATAATAATGAGATAGCTAAGTCATAATAATGAGATAGCTAAGTCGTAATAATGAGATAGCTAAGTCATAATTATGACTTACAGGATTTTAATTTATTTTTCCTGTGGTGCAAACAGGCTTCCATAATCCTGACTACTGGTCCGTATGATAAGCTTTTTTTCTTCTAAATAAATCTAAATTTAAATGTATTTATAAACAAAGTGCAATTAATTTCTAAATGATCATTTGCATGCCCAACACAGAGCATCCTGGGACTGTTGGGCTGAAATGATAGACAACAAACTGTGTGTGTGGGCATGTCATGTCTCTGCAGTCTGCCAGTCTTCCGACACACACTCAGACAAAAGGCTCTTTTGATTCAGTCAGAGATGGAAACAAACAAAAAGGCATTTAAAGAATGTATTTAATAATGTGAAGAGAAGAAAATTCAGCAACATTTATATAATTTGTTGGCTTCAAACTGCTTGTGGAATTTGAGGAATAACACTTGTCTATTCAAGCTAAACACAATGTGTATTCCAGAAATGCACAGTCAAGGAATTTGTCAATTGTCAAGGTAATTTCGTTAAATATAGTTGAGTAAAAATCACATTGTGAGTTTTACCTTAACACAAGGAGCTGCACATGTACAAGCTCATGTATGGATGTCTCATTATAGACTAGAGCTGTTAGCACTGAACCCAGCATGGTGTGCTTTCATTGGTCCAGAGGAAGTGGGTTTTAGGTCTTATGCCCCTCATCAAAGCAGTTCCAGGGCCAGTTCGGAGCTAGTGCCCGATTAAGCACCGTTCTTCCTGTTTCCACTGCAGCGGGGCCATCTCTTAGCACTGAAAATGTATTCCTATCTGGCCACACTGGACTGCCCGTCCAGAAACCAAGAACCAAAAACGTCACGAGGCGGGGGCAGGGGCGCTGAGCAAAGTGACTAGATCGCGACCACACACTTATAAAAAACACACTTATATAAAGTGAGGCAACACTAACCAGGCAGAGTTTGATGCCGTTTGTTTTGACCTTACTTTTAATGATCATCCGTTCTCTGTTATTTGCCATTTTGAAGCCAAGCACACTGCCTCTAATGTTTTCCTCTTGTTTTTATTATAGCAGCTATTGTGTGGAATCAGTACTTGGGCTACACAAGTAAAATCATAAAGAAAAATACGCAGGTAAAATGTGCCTGTAGAAAACGGCTTATGCCACAATATGATACCAACAAGTAGTCAAGATAGTCAGATGAGCTTCAGTTGCTATGCTAACATCACCTGTCTAATACCAGAGAAACTTTAATGACAGCGTTATGATGCCGAACTGCGTCAATTCAGACTGAAACACATTCACTGATGGGGATGGGGGATATTTATCAGCTGCTTGTGTGAGAGTCAGACAGTGAATACTTTACAGCGGCCGCTGCCGTGAGTTAACGGGAGAATAAACTCTGCCGTGAGTTAAAGGTAGGGTAGATAAGTTTGAGAAACCGGCTCGAGATACACTTTTTGTTATATTCCATGGAATGCTCTTAACATCCCGATAGCAATGAATATCTTAAGTGCTTTGACAAAAAATCCATAAAAAGTGTCATCTGTGGAAGCCGTAGTACTGTAAAAAGCACGACCAATCATTTTAGCCGGCCCGGTTAAAATAACTGGATGGCCTACCTGCCTGTCAGCCTTCCATCTGTGCACAAACTTATCTCGTGCCCTCATTGGTCATGTGCGCATTCGTGTGTGTTGGAGGAGGGGCTCTGTAAGGAAGTGGCAGATTTTCTCTGGTTGTGTATTTTCAAATTCTTGCGATCTCGAGCCTGTTTCTCAAACTTACCTACCCTACCTTTAACGGTAGACTAAACTCTGCCGTGAGATAAAAGTAGACGAGCAGCACTGCAGCGGTCGGTAAATGCCGCTGAACCACGTTAATAAACAATGAATGAAACAAAGAACTGCGTGATCGCTGTGTATGCTGTGGATAACATTAATGTTGGCAAGGACAAGGTACACATAAAACTAGTTGCTAAAACAAAACACGGGAGTGTACCTTGTTAGCTAATGTTAGCTAGCTGACATTAACGTTACACATTAAACTCGTTTAACACTCACCTCGGCTCTTACAGAACCAACTAACTCCCCTTTTGTGTATTTGCAGCTCTCAACATGCCCAGACGTGTAATGATTTTCACCTCGTTTAATACTTTTCGCCTCATTCTGAAAGAGGTGAAATGTGCTAAGATGGCCGTCACCATCAAAATCAACATGATTTTATTGATTTCAAAATGGTCGGTTTACTTCCGCACATTTTTTTTTTTATGTTTACTGTAACTGTCCAAGTCCGTTCACATTTGTTCTTCCATTAACCAGTCTTTAAAAACTTCCAGAGCTCATACTGTGTTCCTGTTAGTGTTTACTTTCTGTCTGTCTTCTTCTGTTGTTCACTTTAGTGTTGACTTCCTGTCTGTCTTCTTCTGTTGATTTCTCTGAATTCCAGCGCGCTGTCTTTACATTTCTTTCCTTCTCTTGTTCTCTTTTTCAGTTTTTCTGGGGACAATTTATCCATCATGAATCTAAAGTTTCATGCTCTCCACAAATAAAAAAAATGCCATGGTGTTTTCTGGTGGAGGTAAACATTTGTTTTTCTGGGGTTTTTTTTTGGCCACAGCTGACGTTATATTGACCGGACTTCTTTCTGCGATTGATATGACTGCACATAGTCCCTTGCTTAGAGTATCCTTAGCAACGGTCTATTATCCTTAACAACAGTCTGCTATTGAAATAGAACAGACCTCTGGAATGTCCAAATTGACCAATCAGAATCGAGTATTCAGCCAAGCCGTGTATTAATACTTGATACTATACTCTTTTACTTTACACTAAACTTAACTACGCAATTCTTAATGCATAATGTATACTATCCTCTCCTGAGGAATCTATTAGAAGGATAAGTGAGATGGGTTGCTTTGTGCTGTACAAGCAGAAATAAGAAGTAAGCTGAAGTTAACTTTAAACACATTCTGCCATTCTGTTGGGCCACAGATGTCATGTTTCTCTTCACTGGTGTTTTGTCTACTTTAGGACATCTCCACATGTGAAGACACTCTCCATTCACACAGTCTGAATACAAGCCCACAGCACCCTGCCCTCACCCCCCCCTCTGACCCTCTGTGCCTGCCTGGATACATGGAGGAGGAACTGATGGCCAACAACAACCACCTCAAGGTAAACTCCTTAGTCTTACCCACTATTACATTTAAATGATGAACCTGTTGAAAAATGTTTCATCCAACACTTTAAAAAAAAAAAGGACAACGTATGTTTTGTGTGTGTGTGTGTGTGTGTGTGTGTGTGTGTGTGTGTGTGTGTGTGTGTGTGTGTGTGTGTGTGTGTGTGTGTGTGTGTGTGTGTGTGTGTGTGTGTGTGTGTGTGTGTGTGTGTGTGTGTGTGTGTGTGTGTGTGTGTGTGTGTGTGTGTGTGTTTGTGTGTGTGTAGTTACCCATCCCAGAGGTGAACAAGGACAGATGCTGGGACACAGAGAAGCAGAAGCCACCAGGACAGACTGTCAATTCAACCGGTGTGTATCATACAGTTTTCACTCTAAAGTAAAAGTGACCACCAGTGAGAACCATACTGTGTTTCACTTTGCATCAGTGTTTGAGAGGAGGCTGCACGAACAGCAGGCTGCTGCTCTGTTCTGACTCTGCTAAAGCTTTTAGAGTGTATAGTAATGACGGATGAGAGGAGAGAGAGGATGATGGGGAAATAATATGTTTATTGTCTTCAGGGGGGGGGTGAGGCCAGGGGGTAATATCCTTTTAACACCAGGAAGCCTCATGGCTTATGGGAAATGCGGTCCTAATTGGGAGAAATGCTGTGCTTATAGCTCCAGCGGCGTGAGATTGAACAGCTTGTAAAAGGTAGTTTATGTTTCTAATGATATGTATAATGATGGGTTAGAGATACAAAGTTGTTTTCTGCGAAGACGTATTACTCATCAGGCAAATAGAAAACCAAATGAAACTAGAGAATGCAATTCCTGAAGAAATTGCTAGTGGGAATGCTTTAGATAGATAGATAGATAGATAGATAGATAGTACTTTATTGATCCCAAATTGGGAAATTGTTGTTGTTACAGCAGCATAAAAGGCATTTTACAATAAAACAAAGCTACAAAATATACAAGAATAGAAAGAAAAATAAAATAAAATAAAATATAAAATATACATGTTGAAATAGAAAATATACATGCAGATATTATATATACAAATATATATATATATTCAAAATATATGACATTATGGAATATGGAGTATAAATATTGAACAGATTATAGAGTAAAATGTACAACGTGGTTTAATTTCTAGAGAAACTATGGAGCAGAGAGTTCTCTTCCAGCCAGAGGTGATTTATTGTACAGAGTTATTGCAGTGGGCAGGAATGTTTTCCAGTATCTGTCCTTGTGACAGGGGAGCTGCAGCAGTCTGTTGGAGAAGGAGCTGCAGCAGTCTGTTGGAGAGGGAGCTCTGTTGACTGTCCAGCTGCTGAAAAGCTGACGCTAAACTGCTATGCTGAAATGTAATGTGTAAGAAGAAAGTGAAGAATTTAGATTGAAATGATACATGAACACTGGGGGCTTGAATGTGTGATGAGCAGTGTTGGGCAAGTTACTTTTAAAAAGTAACTAGTAATAGTTAAAGTTACTGCTCTCAAAAACTAGTTACTTTATTAGTTACTAAATTATAAAAGTAACTGGTAACAAGTTACTTTACTTTACTTTAAAAATAATAACAATAAAAATACAAGTTTTTGTGTTGTTCTGTGGCACAGTAAGACTAGTTTTATAGCCCCATGTACATTAGGTGCTTCAGGAGATTGGCATTGCTGTTATTCGATGTGGACAATGCTTTCTGTCCTGCACACAGTTTACATTTGACCGTAATATTTTTTGCGTCCTTTATCCCCACAAATTGAAAATAGTGGTTATATCTCCAAGTTGTAAATGCGCTGCTGCTCTCGCTGATACTTGCATCTGCCATTGTGTGTGTGTGTGCTGGTGGTGGGCGTTGCCGTGTATGTGTGTGTGTTAGCAAGTGTTTGTGTGTCTGTGTATTTTCCCCATAAGGCAAGACCTGCCCAACTCTGTCTCTGATTGGCTTACCCTGAAATGTTACCCCACGTTAACCAATCATCACTCCTCTCTGGTCACTTTCACTTTTCCATGGTACTGTGAGAGGACATAACTGTATTCGCCTGTAAGTTACATCCGCAGGGAGATTCGGTTCAGTTGGACCACATAATGTAACGCAGTAACGCACCCATTTAAATCACAGTAACTATAACGGCGTTACTGAATGGAAATAGGTAACTAGTAACGTTATTAGTTACCGCAAAAGGTAGTTGCGTTACAGTAACGCGTTAGTTTGTAACGCGTTAGTCCCAACACTGGTGATGAGAGAAGAAAAGAAAGTAAAAAGGCTTGGAAAAGCAGCAGAATATTTGAACTGCAAACTTTTGAACTAAGTTGATGGCGAATGATCTGTCGCCAAGCAACGGCATTTGATGACATCCCATAATACGCTTAGATGCGTTGATGGCTGCATCGTTACCAAACCTGTGAAGTTTTGGGCCGTTTGGAGCATTTTCACTGAAGTTATGAGAAAACCATGTTTCATGGTGAGCATTGTGTTGCCATGGCAACGGCATTTGAAGAAATCTCAAAACTGTCCCGTAGATGTCTTCACGGCTGGACTGTTAGCACACATGTGAAGTTTGAGCACTTTTTGGACATTTTCATACGAGTTATAGCGACATCGTCTTTTATGGCGAATCTTTTATATGCCGTTTCCATGGAAACGGCATATGATGACACCCCATAATTGACGTAGAGCTGTTGAGGGCTGGACCGTTAACCATTATCTGAAGTCTGCTGCTCTGAGCATGTCAGTTGGAGTTATGACATCATCGTGTTCCATGACACAGGTGTTTATATTTGAGCTAACGACGTGTCCAGAGATCAAAGGTTTCCATGGTGATATAATAATAATAAATAATTTTGTGCGTAGCATAACAGATAGTTGAAATGCTGTATCAGCATTCCCACTAAATAACCTACAGTACAGTGAACATACTAGAACCAAAACCAGGGATTGACATTAAATATTTAGAAGTTCACATATTTTCTTGTCAAAGACTTGTATTTACATAACATAGAGTGGGAAGCTTCCCCATTACGTATGAATTATATAAATAATTCAAATAAATGTGGCAAAGGCTCAAATTTGTTGAACAACACATTTGTAACAGCTTTATTAATTGACCAAAAAATATGAACAGTTGGAAGATTGAAAATGGGATTATTATTAGGGTTATTTGTAGGTCATTGAAAAGTAGAATCATTTAGAAAGATGTGAACATTGAAGTTTCTATTTTAGAAAAGCTGACACTGTAGTGCATCGCTGGTTTTAAAAGTGATTTATAAGAGTCATGTTTAAAGATGTGCAATACTTAAAACGTTTATAAAGATCCTCTGAGTGTGTGTCATTAGTTAGCTGATAAAATGTTAGGGATAAATACCTTGACATATTGACTACAAGAGCTTGAATCAAACAAGCAACCTTGTATTTGAAAGATTAACTGACATAGCAACAGTCGCACGTGGTATATAAGTGGTGTGGCTGAGTACTTTAAAGGGTTTATGAATAGAGGGGACTTGAATGTGAAATAAGAACAAGAAAATAAAAGTCTAAATGCATGAAAAAGCAGCAGAATATTTGAACTGAAAACTTTAGAACTAAAAGCATACGTCACCAATAATGTCTAAAATATGTGGAACATGTTGAAGTCAGTATGAAGTCTCCATCAGACGGAAAATAATAGGCTGAGACAGTCTGTTAAACTCCAGTGACCACGTCATTAGTCTGCTGCTCTAATTATGTCAATTGGAGTTATGACATCATCGTGTTCCATGACACAGGTGTTTATGTTTGAGCTAACGAGGTGTCCAGAGATCAAAGGTTTCCATGGTGATTAGTGAGAGGAAAGCATTTTCATTGTTCTGAATGAGAGATAAACCTGTTACATGTGAATGTTTTGTTGAAGAACCATAACAGATATCGGTGAAATTTCAAAGCGTGAAGCATGTCAAGGAACTTGAGCATCTGAAGTGTACTTTTTGTGTACTTTCGGGTTAATAATGTGGCCTTTTTGGCAGATTAACTAAAGGTGTGCGGCTGCTGTGGTGGGGAAAGATGAGGCTGAATTTACAATGGAGTTTAATGGAGACATGTTGAACGTTTTTGTCACTTCATGCCCTCAAGAGGCATTTTGTTTAATTATTTTTGCTTAATTTTTTTTTATCTTTCAAGCTACGAGATGTTTTCCTACGTATGTCATGAGAAATGATGTCTCAGGAATGTAGGGTTTGGGAATTATGGGTTCAAAAGAAAATATGAAGGCAAAATTAAATCTGTCCTCCACTCCAGCTGTGACATCACGCACTCTAATATCTGAAGAAGGCCTCTTTACCAAGGTCTGAACAATGTTTAATATCTGTAAAAGTAAGAATCAGATTTAAAAGTTGTGTTACACGAATAATGTCAGAAAGATGTGTAACATTTTAAAGTTGGAATGAGGTTTCTGAGTGAAAGTATGAAGGAGCAGTTAGCAGTTGAAGAAGGAGCAGTTAGCAGTTGAAGTTGCATGAAGATTGTTGAAGTCTGAAGAGTTCTCCATTGACTTCCATGTTAAAAATGGGATGTATTAGCGCAGTGGTTCTCAACTGGTCAGGCCTCGGGACCCACTTTTTACTTGGTCAATACATCGCGACCCAACATTTTGAACCACTCAAATCTATTCAACAAAAAATCGTGCTGTAATATATACGCTTTTGAGCATACAATATTAATAAAAGTGAATTACAGTGCATATATCCCTTATATCCCTTCACAGAACTAAAGTATGCTTTTAAAAAAGGTTTAATGAGATGATGGAATCAAAGCTGAACTATATAAAAAGGCACACATGCTGAAAACCCAACCCCAGAAGGGGGGTCTGGGGGGATTCTCCCCCAGGAGATTTTTAGAAATACTAACATAAACTACGCATTCTGGTACACTCTGAGAAGAAAATAAATAAATCTATTACTACCCGACATATTAATAATATTTTATGCCATTGTTTGTTTTTCACTTTGTTCTGACATCTTGCTGCGAGAAGAGCAAAGAGGAGAGAGTGTGTGACTTGCTTTAAATTGTGGTAAGGGTAGATAGCTCCCATTGTTCTGTGACCTGTCAATCATCAAACCGGGGGTCATATTTCATTATGTGTTCATTTTTATCTGAAGTTGTACCCATGGATGTATAAAGAAGAGTTCTACCGCAAAGTTATTCTCCGTGGGGACTTCCGGCAACAATCTTGATTCTGATTGGCCAGAAGACTCGAAAAAACATCAGCAAAGATATTTTATTGAGAAGATGATCGTGACAGAAGTTTTCAAAACCGTTTATGGTCTCCGGTACTTCCAGTCCAACGCCAACTGCATGCACAGCGTTAGAAAATCGGGCCTTCAAAATAAAAGTTTGACTTTTTCCCCAAAAAAAAAAAAAAAAAAATTCCAATTTTTTTTTTCAACTTTTTTTTCTTCACTCACACATCCGCGACCCACTCGAAACGGGTCCGCGACCCACTTTTGGGTCGCGACCCACCAGTTGAGAACCACTGTATTAGGGGATGTATCTCTGGAATTATGAAAGTTATGAATGATAAAAGTAATAGCCATTGATTCCCGACCGAGCTGAACGTTTTGATGTTTGAACGGAGTTTCTGCGATGTTCAATGTGGGAGAAGAAGCAGCGCAAAATAACCCGGCGGAATAATAAAGAATTTTGTGCGTAGCATAACAGATAGTTGGAATGCTGTGTCAGCATTCCAACTAAAATATTGCAATAAATAAAATACAAAATACCAGATAATAAAACATTTATTTTTTTAACAAAACAGTAAAAAGGTGCAATAAAAAGATAATAAACATAAATGAAAATAAAATAAAATAATACAAGTTAAATGAAGATATGTAAAATGTCCAAATAAAAGATAAAATACAAATAAATAAAAATATTTTTATGGATAAAATCACCTCAAAATAGAGACTGAGATGAATGTAAAGCTGATGCTGGTTGTGATGGTGTGTGTGAGCAGGTGTTCACCCGTACTGGATCGGAGATCTGGACAGCATCATCATGAAGAGCCCGGAGCTTCATCCCACTCATCCCCATGGCAACAGGGGTTTATATGGAAACAGGAAGTCCCTGTCCCAGCAGCTGGAGTTCCCTCACACCACCACACAAGTATTTGATTTATTTTCTCAATATTATTAACACAATGCATTAAAGATCACCTGGTGACCACCACACATTTTCATTCATCTAATAATGAGCACAAAAAACTGCACTTCTGCACCAGACTCCCACAGGCCATAAGACTGTTAAACACCTGAACTTTGAAACAACATCCATAACATTCATCTGGCTGCAACTTACAAATGTTTTATCTAATATATCATATTCCAATAACTTGTATATATATATATAATATAATATATCTTATTGCACTATTTCATTATTTCACTTTTCTTTTACTATTTTTCTTTTTGTATTTACTATTTACTTGCACTATTTCTCTCTGTTTTTCTGTTTTATTGTGTTGCACTGTTGGAGGAGCCAACAAAAACCTAAGATTTTCCTCGTCATAACTACACTGTAGCTATGTTCGTATGACCAATAAAAGCCTTGAACCTTGAGAGTGAGTCACATTAAAGGGGCCCAGCAGCACTGTTTCCTCTGGGGCTCCCCGCCATGAGTAGAACAGGAAACCCTTTCTATATGTTACTACTGTACTTACTGGTAGGAAAGTTAATAATTCATTACATAATGCCCTGCTCTCTGTGTGTGTGTGTGTGTGTGTGTGTGTGTGTGTGTGTGTGTGTGTGTGTGTGTGTGGTGTGTGTGTGTGTGTGTGTGTGTGTGTGTGTGTGTGTGTGTGTGTGTGTGTGTGTGTGTGTGTGTGTGTGTGTGTGTGTGTGTGTGTGTGTGTGTGTGTGTGTGTGTGTGTGTGTGTGTGTGTGTGTCTCCAGCCTGTGCGCCCCTCCCGCTCCCTCAGCTCTGCTCAGCTGGTTCACTCCTGCAGTAACGTGCAGGCGTTCATCATCTGTAACGTGGTGCTGATGAAGGGCCACGGAAAGGTACGACATGTAACGGAATTTACAGCAGAATCAGATGTTACTTAGGTAATCCCAGAGTTAAGGAAAGTAATCAGATGACATTATTTGTATATTGTGATAGCTCCACTGATACACTTTTGAGTCTGAGTATGTTGTTGAATAATAGCTGTTGTTCTGACGCAGGGCCTGGGCTTCAGCATAGTGGGGGGCCGGGACAGCATGTATGGACCGATGGGGATCTATGTGAAGACCATCTTCCCTGGAGGGGCAGCAGCTGCTGATGGAAGACTGCAGGAGGGTGAGGACCACACACTGTGCATGGAGCTCACACACACACACACACACTTTACTGTTATAGTAAACAGCATTTTTTTATTCTGTGTGTGTGTGTGTGTGCGTGTGCGTGTGCGTGTGCGTGTGCGTGTGTGTGTGTAGGGGATGAGATCCTGGAGCTGAACGCAGAGTCTCTCCATGGTCTGACTCATGATGAAGCCCTGTACAAGTTCAAAGTAACCAAACTTCATTATACTGTATGATGATAAAGCAGAGGAGGTTACACACATTTATTTTCAATTTCTTATAAATTAAAGCAACTTGACTATTACTTACGTAAGAGATTGTAGAGCACAGAAGCTCCAATGAAAGGAAACATGTTAAACACACAGTAGATTAGAAAACGTTCAATGATATCTTTTCCTGATAAGGAATAATATTGACTTCTTTAGGAAAACTGGCTTCCTGGGTTGATAATCCCATACAATTTTGATCTTGGATGTATCAAGAAAATGTTCACTGACAATGTATTTCATTGTGTTTTTACTGGTAATAACATTTAAACAGAACCGTAATCTTTCCCTGACAGAAGCCAAAGGGCTGAGGTACTTGTACTTTACTCTACTTTCCACTTCTCCATTTGACTGCTTTTCTTTCTCGTTACTTGGTGAATACTGGGCTCTTTCTGATGGAGCTGTAGTGAGGGGTATTTTTTGGGGGCTGTGTGGGAAATTAGGATTTTGCCTTAACTCTGTGCACTACCAACCAAACCAATTAACAACATTAACGCCCGGCCTACATTTCCAAAAGCATTGATGAGAAATGTCTCTGCAGCAAATCAAGAAGGGGCTGCTGACCCTGGTGGTGAGGACGAGCCTGCGGGGGGGGGCAGGGTGTGGTCCGGAGGCCCAGCTCTGCAGGTCTCGCTCCCTCAGCTCCAGCTCCGGCCTGGCCCGGGTCAGCGCTGACTACAGCTACCTGAACAGCAGCTGCAGCGACACCCCGAGGGCCCCGGGCGACCGCGTCGTCATGGAGATCATCCTGCACAAAGGTCAGCCAAACAGCAGAGACACCACAACAATCTTTTTGATATATTATTTAAATACCAAAGATCCACTTACAATTACTCAGAATAGGATTTCTTAGATTTCCGAATTTCATCTGATTATAAATAGAATATTCACATATATTTTTAAATTTTAATGTTGAGAAATTAAGCAATTTTCTCAAGCAATTTTTTTATTTTACATGTATAGATTTATAGCTGTATCTTGGGCCCTGCTGAAAGCATTGGAGCTCTAAAAGGCTAATCTCTATTGCTTAACATTAGTTTGTTAGAGTGTGCATTACTTTAAATCTCTTTTGATTGAAACAGCCTCCTTTAATGTTATCATATTAAAGGTTTCTCTGCATGAATCACTTCCCAGAGGCAGGTGTTGGTCTGGGTATCGGGCTGTGCTGTGTTCCATCTGGTGACGGGTGTCCTGGGATCTTCATCCACACCCTCTCTCCTGGATCAGTAGCACACATGGACAGTAGACTCAGGTGAGGAGCATTTACTGCATGCATGGAGAGAGTACCAACATACCTGTTACACATTGTGAATTAAGTGCACTAAGATATTACATTACATTACATGTCACTTGTTAGACACTTTTATCCAAAGCGACTTACATACTCAATACTGTGGGCAATCCCCACAGGAGCAATTTGGGTGAAGTGTCTTGCCCAGAGACACAACGACATGCTGACTGCAGTGGGGTTTGAACCTGTTACCCCCTGATCCGAACACCAACGCACAATCCACTGCACCACACGCCTCCCTAGATATAAGACAGGAAGTGTAAAAGGCAGATCTTGGGTCTGTCCTCACTGTGAAAACCCTCTCCCCCCCCCCCTCTTACCTGCAGGTGTGGGGATGAGATCATGGAGATCAACGACACTGTGGTTTACAACATGGCGCTGAACGATGTGTACACGGTGCTGAGCCAGTGCTCTCCAGGTCCAGTCCACATCATCATCAGCCGACACCCCGACCCCAAAGTATGCAACGCCAACACCTCATTCCCTACGGTCAGGTTTACGGGCTCACAGGGAGGAGCTGGCCCCTGGGTTCAGCTTGGGGCCTCTGAGTGTTAGGTCCATGGCTCCTGGCTTTCATCCCAGTGTTCTGGCCTCCTCCCTCAGGCCAAAGTACAACAGAGTGGAATGAATGGTGAATGAATGTTTAGGGTCTCTACAACAGGCAGTTCTTGGCTTATGAGGCAAATTATGTAACACCCCTAAACAGAGGTGGGAAGTAACTAAGTACATTTACTCAAGTACTGTACGTACAATTTTGAAATAGTTGTGCTTTACTAGAGTATTTCCATTTCATGCTACTTTGTACTTTCTACTCCACTACATGTATTTAATACCTTTAGTTACTTCACAGATGTGGATGAATGATGTGAAATATAATCAAGTGTTAAATCAGACTTTAGTTCCACCTGGAGTAAATTCACAAGCTACCCTGCAGTATACAAAGTCATTCAAACTAGCTGCACCTTTACCAGCTTTGAGAACACTTTCATGATCAATCATTATAAAACATATCATTTATATTATTCTGAAATGGACCAATCTGCACAATGACTACTTTTACTTAACATCAGCATGCTAACATCAGCATGCTAACATGCGCACAATCACTTGTTGTTTAGCAGGTATACTTTTATACTTTAACAGTAATACATGCCTTTTTTAATTAATTGATTTCGTATCTGTGTCTAAAAAAAGTCTGAAGTGTGGGTTGTCTGAAATGTTAGAATAAAAAATCCTCAAGTCATACTAGATGTGACCATTTTACACAAATGTACACACAAAAAACCTTGGTGTCGACTTTATTCTGCCGTCATCCTCTATTAGTCTTTGTCTGGAGTATGGGTTAAGGCTTTTTACCTAATATAATGAAGATATTTTAAAACTCTTATATGATATCCTTTCTTTACCTTGAAAACTATCTTGAACTTGTTTAAGAGCTGCCATTCTGACTCATTCATTAACCCCTTGACAATCTCTTCTTCTGCCCTGTATGGTCCAGGTGTCAGGGCAGCAGCTGAATGATGCTATCACTCAGGCAGTGGAAAACAGCAAACTGAGGAAGGAGAAGAGCCAGTGGAGTATTGATGGTGACATATTTATTATTATTCATTCCACAGTTACATCTTTCTGTTTTAGGTCTTCTGAATTGTATTACAGAGTTGCATATTGTTAAAGATCCACCGTGAACCTCTGTCCTGTGTTGCTGGCCCCAGGTCTGCGCAGACTGGAGCCCTGCTCTCACAGTCGGCAGAGGTGTGAGCGCTGTCTGGAGAAGACTTTCAGTCAGCTGACAGTTCGACGGGCGCAGAAGACCATGACCCGCTCCTGCAGCGACAACACCAGCAGCCCCCACCACAATCAATGCCTCACTATACAGCACCTCCACAACACACACCATCACCCATCCGCCCGCGTGCACAGCCTGGACACACCCAAGGTAAGCACACATGAGCAGGTTGTGTTGAGAAAGTTCAAAATACAGCCTCTTTTGTAGTAGTGTGGGTCATCTGACCCTGTCCCCTCCCTGTTGTGTAGTCTATGAGAGAGACGTGGTCTGACAACAGGCTGTCAGTGCCTGTGTATCCTGATGAAGACTACAACGTCCCCTACAACACTGCTGCTGCACACCTGTCCAATCAGCACGCCCTGGACCTGACCCTCAGGAGCAACAAGGTACACCATCCAACCATCCATCTATCCATTCATCCATCTATCCAACCATTCATCTATCCATTCATCCATCCAACCATCCATCTATCCATTCATCCATCTATCCAACCATCCATCTATCCATTCATCCATCCAACCATCCATCCATCCATTCATCCATCCAACCATCCATCTATCCTTCCATCCCAAAAGACAAAGCAGGGACTCCAAACTACATATGTATATAATCTTTTTAATAATTTTACTGTAATTATTGGGGAATCTTATGTGTGTTGTGATGTTTGTGCTGGAGCTGCTTTATCCAAAACAGCACTCCGGTTAGAGAGTTGACACGGAGACAGGAAGTACAGTCGTTGGACTTTATATTAGCTTGGTTCTGATCATCAACACAGAATACATCATGTTTGATGTGGAATCACATACAGGATGTCGAATGGGTTTGATGAGGATGATGATAATGATAATGACAACGTAGAGTAGAGAATGAATGAATGGTTTATTCTTCACGAACGCATTCTCTCTGTGACGATGGTAATTATGCATGTGACGATGCGACCGCAATAATGTCCTGTCATGAACGCACATGTGCAAATAGCTCGAGGACCCGTAGCTGCGCTACTTTAGCTGTCCCTAAATGTGCCTGACTAAAAACACGAACTATATAACGCAGATCAAGGAAAACAAGGGGAATTTACAACAGTAATGTACTCTAATTTAAAGACAAAAAACTCCCAAAACATTATCTAACAAAATTAAGACACCTACTGTCTTCTTGTGTCACACTTTTATTAGATTGGTGCGGCAAAGATGTATATTTGTAGGCCGACACAGAAGTTGGCATTGCAAGGGCTCCCACAACTAAAATGCTATGGTATTTTTCCATTGGGTTTGGAATATTGCAGAAAATAAGATCTGTAGCAAACACACGTTTATGATAACCTCAATATATTAACACCACTTTGTGATTTTTGAAAGGTAATTGCAATGTCCAGAACTAAAAAGCTAACATAATAAACTGCATTACAGTCGCATGGCTACTCATCACGAATGCTAAGCTAAAGGATGCTAATGCTTGGTGGGATGAATTTAAGAAGTCTAATTTTGTCACTTCCTAGCAACTGCTGTTTTTACGATACAAAGAAGCTTTGGACACACATATTTAATGTCAGAGAATTGTAAAAAACGTTCTTAAGCCTGGATTAACCACATAATTTATTTTAGGCTTACCACAAACAAAAACAAACAAAACAACTGTTGACTTCAAGACGAGGGAACTGCAAATGCTAATATGCTATGTCATTTCTGGGTTTTAGGACCACTCTATACATGTATTACAGCTGTGTGTGTGTGTGTGTGTGTGTGTGTGTGTGTGTGTGTGTGTGTGTGTGTGTGTGTGTGTGTGTGTGTGTGTGTGTGTGTGTGTGTGTGTGTGTGTGTGTGTGTGTGTGTGTGTGTGTGTGTGTGTGTGTGTGTGTGTGTGTGTGTGTGTGTGTGTGTGTGTGTGTAGTCCACCTGCAGGGTGCGTGCTGCTCCTCACCGGCACTGCTGGCCTCAGGATGTGACCAGTGAGGAGGGCTATAATGGAGACTCCAGCGGCTCCAGTGGAGGGTCCCCAGTCAGGGAGGGGGGGCTGGAGTCCTCCTCACACAGCTGTCAGGTACATCACTCTGCATGCTGCCTCTGAACACTGGGAACAGGTTTATTAAGATAGCTGTGAAGGCCTCTGTTGAATTGATGTACTATTTCCACATAACAGCCAACTTTGCTGCTGCATTGCTACATTATTGGTGCAGTGATCGTTGCAACACGTTAAGCAAAGTTAGGGAAATAAAAATGTATCCAAATGTGCTACTTTGTACTTCTACCCCACTACAGTTCAGAGGTAAATGGTGTACTTCTACTCCACTACATGTATTTAATCCCTTTAGTTACTTCACAGATGTGGATGAATGATGTGAAATATAATCAAGTGTTAAATCAGACTTTAGTTCCACCTGGAGTAAATCCACAAGCTGCCCTGCAGTATACAAAGTCATTCAAACTAGCTGCACCTTTACCAGCTTTGAGAACACTTTCATGATCAATCATTATAAAACATATCATATATATTATTCTGAAATGGACCAATCTGCATAATCACTACTTTTACTGTCGCTACTTTCACTAGATTTTTGATGCTAATACTTTTGTACTTTTACTTGATTAACATTTTGAATGCAGGAAGTGTACTTGTAACAGAGTATTCCTACACTCTGGTACTTCTACTTTTACTTACGTACAAGATCTGAGTACTTTTCTCACCTCTGGTTAGGGAAATGGAACTTAACTAAAAGCGAGCATTAGGTTTTCTTAAACAATACCCAAACATGACCTGGAACCAGAACTTTGTCAGTATCTGTCAGTTGTGTCCGATAGCAGAACTGTTATGTTTTAACACTGTCTGCCATTTCTGTGCCAACATGTGTCAAAACATTCATTACAAACGTACCATCCCCCTTCTCTCACTTTCCATATGTCTGGTCCCTCGAATTGCATTGGCATCCTAATCCTGATTGGAGAGACCATGTGCTGCTCCAATCAGGATTAGGATGCCAACCAGGAAGTGGGATGGGCACATGGTATCCATCTCACATCCTACTTGGCATACATAAACCAGTCTGTTGGATGTTGCTCCGATACAGTAGCTAATTAGGTTTATCAAACATTTTCTAATTCAGTGCCCATATATGGATGCTGATTTGAGGAACAGCGAGGGGACTGCTTCTTTCTGAATTAGCTGACCATCTCTTGTAATATGCATGTTTTCTTCAATAGACTAACCATGACTAACATGTAACTCTGTCCTCTCCTCTCACTGCCTGCAGTTCTTCAGCAGTGTGTACAAGGCACTGAGAAAGATCCTGAGGTTACTCTTAAGGAACGTATGTGAAGGGATGTGAAGGGATGTGGCTTCAGTGTTGTGCTGGTGAAAGCATGCTGAACACCTAGTTATGATTTAACAGTCAGCCTATACTAGTCTACATTACAGACAACGGGACACTTGCTTTAATCCCAGCTCAGTGTACTGCTGCACTTTTGTATGATTGGTAAGACATTGTTAGAATCCTTTGTTTACTTCCGTAGTGACATAGTGACATCGCTACGTAACACTCGCGCTTCTATTGGCTAGCTCTCCAACACATTGTACATGATAGACTAAGGGTCGGGACATCTCTAAGCGGTCAGACCGAGGGTGATTAGAGGTCAAAAGAAAGAGCTTTTTGAACATGAAAGCATGGAGACATGTCCCAGTAGAGACACTACATACTGATATGAACCTGAACATTAGCAAACCATTTCAATGAATGAAGAAGTACAAATGCATAACATGGTGCTTGCAACACCCATCTTGTGTCTCTGTGTTGCCTGGTATACATGTTTTTATACATTTCACTATTCGTGTGCATGTCAGCATGAAGGCAGTGCATGTCATGTGCTTGTATGCAACTTTAACACTTTTTTTTTTTGATGTGTCAAATGGAATATTACAAGACGTTCTCAGTTTTACTGCTTTACCTCTACTCCTTTGGGACTCCACAGTGTTTATTGGAGCGTTTCACTCACATTCATTTAAATGATCAATTAATTCAAATTGAAGATAAATAAAATACAATAAATATCAAATATATACATGTATTTTGGCTTCACCTTAATGTAATCTGCCTACATAGGTTCCATTTTTCTCCTAAAATTCAGTGAGCTGAATGGAATTTAGTACGAGGACTAGAGAAAAAGTCCATGAGTGGACTATGACAACCTTCCACCAGTACCCCCAATCTAATTGGACGAGGGCACCAATGAAGCTGCTGCCTGTTAGCATCATGCTTGTTCAGGTTCTGGGCCTGTTACTGAATGGCGCAGAGGGAGAGCAGCAGCAGTGATGTGGATGAGTGTCAGAGCGGAAGCATTATTGCACCTCTTTGTGGTTGATATGAGAGAAACTGTGTGACACAATACTTCCTGTTTGTGTAGCAGGAAGGAGAACGACTAAGAGAACACTCAGAGGGGACTGCAGCCTGCACCAGCAACAGACTACACACAGGTAACACACCATACCATTATATACTTTAGGCACCTGAATGCAACCTCAGGTAGCTGATGAATCAGGCGGTTGGTTGATACAGCATGCTGACCCTGCTGCTGTGGGATCAGTATTTCAGTTACTAAAGTTCCATTTCCTGTTTAAGACAGGGTTTCTACAGTATGTGTCCGTCAATACAATTCTATCAGGATGTGTGCAATGGGCTCTAACTTCTGAAGCACTGTTGAGCTGCTTCAGTTACACCAAGGTTTCAGGTTGTCTTGAATGTCATTGTGATAATATGCATATCAGCATTTTTCTCAAAGCTCCACTTTAATGGAGTAAGAGTTTAGCTTCACATAGAATAGCTGTAGTCTAGTTTTGTTACATTTTCATCATAACCAATTTGATTGAAATTGAGTTTTTTAGTTGGATATGGTCAGTTTGATATACATTTATTTGAATGAATGAAAAAACACTTTTATGGGGACCTCCATGATAATCCTACAAATACTGGCAGAAGCCTGGATAATCATCAATCAAATAATTGGGATGTTAACAGAAAAAAAAGTCTTCTCATGAGTTTGTGACATGTTTGAAAACAAGAAGCACCAGATTGTTCTACGTTCCTCTGCTTTGTGTCCGTCAGACGCTGTGCTCTGCTCACAGTCAAAGAGAGGAGCTCTGAGGAGACAGCCTCACATTGACCAACACACCCAGGCACGCATTGAGGACCCCTGGGTTCGCCTCGCAGACCGCCTCCCTGAAGAGGTGCTCCACCACCACCCCGCCGCTGCAGACAGAACACACCCCACCACCATGAGCGACCAGGAGAACACACCTGAGGTTAATGGCACACACTCGGATGTCACCTCAGATCCTCCCTCAGATATGACTCCTGAGAACACATGTGAGACTCCTCCAGGAGAAAAGACGGCCCCCCCGGTGGCCCCCAAGCCTGCCTGGTTCCGCCAGAGTCTGAGGAAAATCCGGAATGAGCAGGGCCAGAAGAAGCAGGACAAACCCGCAGAGCTGAGGTCAGTGGGGGGCTTCACCAGGACCTACGGGGGCAGATCCGCCTCATCTTCAGCCAACCTGTCAATCAAACAGAAGATCCACTCCTTTGAGACTTTTTCCAGTGCGGAGGTTTCAGAGAAGGGGGGGAACAGGAGACCCTCGGCCACCTCCACCTCCATCTCCACCTCTCTACCTCTGGAGGAGAGCAGGAGTCGCCCTGCCTCACATGGGGACAGTGGGAGGGGCCAAAATGAAATCCAAGAAGAGATCCAGGAAATCACCTCTCCGTGTGACAGCGAGCCAGAGAACCCCCCTGTCTTTGCTACACCTTCTGCTATCCCCTCCTCCACTTTTGAAGCATGCAGTCAAACAGCCGCTGGGGATGACCCCCTCTCTATCCAACCCCCCGCAGATCTGCCACTGTGTGACAGCACTGATCTGCACTCAGGGACACATGGTGATCCTCCATCAGCTCCACTTCCTGCCAAACAGGAAGCTGAGCTAGAAGAGGATCTCACCAGCTCCAATCAGAACACAGTCTCTCCCCCTGCCACATCCATGATATCTCAAGAGGGGGGAGAGAGCCTTCAAGAAGAGGGAGATGGAGCAGAGAACCAAGGGAAGCCCCTGAGCCCCACCCTGAGTGCTGCCCCCCCCGCAGGCAGCCACCATCAGAGAGGCCTGGAGGAGGGGAGTTTAGAGAAGATCCTCGCCTTCAGTAACCAGGTAATCTGTCAGGGAAGAACCATGGTTATGGACTTTATGTCAATGATTATTATTTGAAGGTCCAATGTTTATATTCACTTATTGTGTTTTGGGGTTTTCCTTTCCTGTAGTGTGTTTTATAGGTTTTTGTGCATGTAAATGGTCTGCAAAGGCTAAAATCCCTGTGTTCCTTCCAGAGGGAGTATTCTCAACCCCCCCCCCCCATAATGAAAAATGAAAATAGTTTTTAAAAAAAGTGAAAATAGTGCAATAAGAGTCTATATGCAAGTTATTGGAATATTATATATTAGATAAATAATTTCGAAATAGCAGCAAGATGAATGTTGTGGATGTTGTTTCAAAGTTCAGGTGTTTAACAGTCTTATTGCCTGTGGTACATATAGTTATGAATTAATTAATATATTTAGATTTTTTCTATATTTCAATAATTGAATTGAAACCAGAAATGCTTATGTTTTGTATCTAATTCTATTTGAATATGTTGGTTGTTCCAGGTTTCCCAGGCGGTGATGCGCTCTCACAGCGACCTGCTGCCCTCTGTGGAGAGCGACTCTGAGGAGAGAGAGCAGGACAGCAGCGAGAGAGGCTTCTCTGTCAGGTGCAGTAACACACACACACACACACACACACACACACACACACACACACACACACACACACACACACACACACACACACACACACACACACACACACACACACACACACACACACACACACACTCGCAGTTTATAATGACCATAGACTGTATTACTCAAACAGAGACTCGCCCCAAAATGCATACTGTGCCTGTTTTATATTCATAAGGAAGTGGTTCATTTTGTTGAAAAAAATAACAACTTCCTGTTTCACCAGAGAAGCAGTGGCACGCTTTAATTAACAGAACTCACAGAGCTGTCAGGGGTGGAATGTATGAGGTACGTGCAGGCGTGCAGTGCTCAGAAGTGTGTAACAGTGTGTGTGTCTTCATTTTAAACACAGCTTGGCCACACTGAGGGAGTGTACCATTGAGCGAGGGGAGGGGGGGCACCATGACGAGGCAGCAGGCTCCTCTGCTCACTCTGTCATCTCAGCCATCCCCTCACAGGAAATACAGAGGATGATCCAGGAAGTCAAAGCTCTGGACCAAGACACGCTGAAGGTAAAACAATGAAAACATTTTTTAATCAATATTTGGAACCTTTTCTTAACTGAAAACAGTGGAAATAATGATCCGAGTGTCATGAGAACTGGACCATCTTTGTTATATATACACTTCAGCACACATGAAATAAAGGTGCAGATGGAATATGGAATAAAAAACCCAAAAGGTATGTTTGACTTTTCTGTCATTATTAAAGTTAGGTGTCCGAATCACCAACAAAATGTCATTCTGTGCTCCCTGCTGTTGGGTGTGTGTGTGTGTGTGTGTGTGTGTGTGTGGGGGGGGGGGGGGTGGGTGTTTGTGTGTGTGTGTGTGTGTGTGTGTTTGTGTGTGTGTGTGTGGCCATATCTAGGGGTCATGATGTGCTCTACATCTACTGTGTAAATACCACTGATTCCACTGATGTTCTAACCACATGCAGAATGTCCCATAATACTCTCTGAACGCTCACTGCTCCCTTTACCTTTTAGATGTAGGAGTGAGGAAACACTCACAGCAAATATCACTGTGGTCATGTTGATGCAAACAGTGATGATGTTTATTGTGAGCAATAATAAAGAGAACAAATGAACTGTCTGTCTCCACAGCAACTGGTGGACATCCATGTGGTGATTCTGCATAAAGAGGAGGGGGCCGGGCTGGGCTTCAGCATCGCAGGGGGGTCCGACCTGGAGAGCAAGGCTCTGACAGTAAGCAGCACTACACACACACACACACACACACACACACACACACACACACACACACACACACACACACACACACACACACACACACACACACACACACACACACACACACACACACACACACACACACACACACACAGGTCAGACTGACTGTGAATAGCTGGCTGAGAGTTGAGGAGAGCATCATTCCTGACTCTACTTAATATGATAGTGTTTCCTGTAATGGCCAGTAGATGGCACCACAATCCAACATCAAATACTAAGTGGGTTTTGAGTGCCTTCTTATTCCTAATGTTTGTACTAGTGGTGCCATATTGCTTGTACTCTTGGTAAAATGCACATTTAAGGAGTTTTGGGTCCTCACAAAAGGGTTTATCAGCTTTGCTGTTTATGCAAGCAGATAGATGTATTAAAAATACAGAGGTGCTCCTAACCTTTTATCAAAATAATACAACATTTTACTAACACATCATTTGAATTATTGCTACATCAGAGAATATCAAATAATAATGTTAAAACATCGTTAAAGATTGTACCAATCCCAACAAAATGCGCATAAACAGAATCTGAGTATAATGAGAGGGACTATAGAAACGTTAATTATAATTATAGAATGTATTGTATAAACTGTTCATGTAGATATGTAGTAGAATTCGAGCAAAGAATCTGAACGTAGTTCTTCCTGCAGGTCAGTGGAAATATTTGTTCTGTCACAAGACTTAATTCTGAGATGTGCATCAAGGGATTTGGTTGAACTGTCTGCCACTGTACAGACCGTGCACACACTCTGTGATCATCGAGTGTGTGTGAGACTGAGTGTGTTCTGTCCAGGTCCACAAAGTGTTCCCCAGTGGCCTGGCGGCTCAGGAGGGAACCATCCAGAGAGGAGACGAGGTGCTGTCCATAAACGGACACACACTGCGCGGTGTCACACACACTGATGCCACCAGCGCTCTGCGGCAGGCCCGCAATCTGCAGCTGGCTGTGGTGGTGGTCTGCAAGAGGGCGGAGGAGGGGGGGGCCGAGGGGGACGGCTGCAGGACGGAAGACCTCCACCCTGCAGGTGAGTCCTACAGCTCTCAGAGAGTGAGCCTCTCCAAGGCTCTGCTGAAAAAGCATCTTCACAATATGTAGTGGCCTATGAGATCAATTACACCTCTTCATATATTAAAGGGTGCTTATACAGAGAGCCGAGCTTAAAGTAAGTAAAGTGCTATATCAAAAAAGAGAGCACATTACTCCTGTTTTAGCTACACTGCATTGGTTCCCTGTATATTTCAAAATCCTTTTACTGGTTTACAAATGAGCTAATGGTCTGGTCCCTCTCCTCTCACTGATTCTCTGTCCTTTATGTCCCAAGCAGCAGGCTTTTTATATATACCTATCTCCTCCAATCAAATGGGTGAAGCAGCTTTTTCCACTACGCTTCCAACCAAGACATTTCAGGGAAGCAAACTCAGTGGACATTTTTAAACGACAGTTGAAAACAATACTTTTTTAGGTTAGCCTTTATTCTCTAGCCTATTTGACCTCCTTGTACTCCATGATATCACACATATCATGTTCATTTGCTGCATGTGTGTTCAAATGTTTTCAAGTTTGACCTGAATTGAATTTCTTGTTTCGGTTTAATTGTGTTGTGTGTACTATTGTTATAGCACTTTGAGCTGCATCCAAAGTGCTATCCAAAATACAGCTTTATTATTATTACTTTTATTATATAATCCCCATTTACACAATGGAGGTCGATACTGTACTGTATTTTAGAACCCTTACAAAATCTGTTTAGGTGAAATCTCTATTTTGAGATATATTTTCACTGCTTTACCTCACTATCAAAAAGCCTTTCTGACCAAAGACAGCAGCTGGGATCATGAGAGATTTGACATCACAGATCAGGGGAGGGGTCTGCCACCCTGATCAGCTGGTTTATTCGGTAAATCTGAACTACTGCAAAGCTAAATAATCGTTTTTGTTAATGTATGTTGGTGTATTTGAAGAGGGCATACATAATGGCGTCATTGTAAAGGGCTGTCTGAGAAGGTGGGGCAGGGGAAATATTGTAAATCAAGAGTACACTAAAAGGATTACTCTTTTATATACGGCTTTATATCACTTGAATACGCATTGAATGTGCCAACTTAGCCAGGCTACTACTGTATTTATTTTACTCACACAACTCTAGCCCCAAACATCCAAACTCTCCGTTTAACTTTGATGTTTTCAGCTGTGGAATGAAGGTATGCAGGCTACGTCTGTCCTTGTTGTTGATGGGGTTGTGTGTGGTGTGTGGTGTGTGTGTGTGTGTGTGTGTTGCAGTGGTCCTCCAATCCGCTCCGCTGACGGTGGAGCTGCAGAAAGGAGCTGCAGGAGTGGACTTCACTCTGGAGGGGGGCAGGGGCTCCATCCATGGAGACAGACCTTTAGTCATCAACAGGATCTTTGCAGGTACACAATATAATGCTGACATTATAATATTATAGTAACAATGAAACCACTTCACATTCACTCAGAAGAAAACATCTGGGGTTTAAAAATGGGTTCTTATTTTAAAGGTCTCCGATCATGCACTTTTTTTTTTTGTAATTCAAAATTGTATTGGATTTTAAGCACAAACATCCAACATCATATACAGACTCAGAGAAAAAACAAACAGTACCAAAGAAATAATAAAAATAAAAACAGGCAGGTAAAAGCAGACATTGACAAGTATCCATACATCAAAGTAAAACATCCAGTCATAGCAGCGCACATTAGTGCATGATATTGTGAGTGTCCCACATCCACTTATTAGTGTCTTCACACGGTTCCACCTTCCCCAGACATGTATCTACTGAAACTATCCCATTGTTCATTAGCCATGCCACTTTCAACATTCAACCTCCCCAGCATCTTTTCACATGCAGCAGTCTCCATCATTTGAACCCTCCACATATTCAGTGTAGGAGTTTGGGGATCCTTCCAACATCTTCAAATGATGCGCGCACACGTTATTAGGCCAGTCTTTCACACTCTAAATGCACATTTATTCAGATGCGGGGTCACCGTCCTGTCTCCAAGGAGACACAGTCTTGGCGAAGTGGGAATATCACATTTCAACCATTTTCCCATAGAGTCCAGAACACTCCTCCACAAGGGACAAACCTTCGAACATTCCCAAAATGCATGCATATACGTGCCACGTTCTTCCCCACATTTCCAACAGAAATCATCCTTAATCAGGCCCATTCTGTGTAGTCTTGACGGAGTATAATAATATCTTTGAATTATTTTATACTGAATTTGCCTCTACCTTCCCTTATGTATTTTTCAGAGTTAGATATAATTTCCTCCCATGTTTTTTCGTCAATTGTAAGTGACAGGTCCTTTTCCCATACACGTTTGAGATTACCACAGCCATTGTCATTTATCCAGGGACACATCCCGTACCTCCTAGATGCTCTTTGGAGCATTGTTGGCAGTTGTAGGTAACACTCTATTGTATTCTCATCCCTATTAATGAAACTCCTCCCCCCCATACAATGTCTAATCTGTAAATATTTCCAAAAGTGGCCTCGTTCCTCCAAATTAAACTTTTCCTTCAGTCTGTCATAAGAAATAAAAATGTTTGCTTCAAATAAATCATCCAATATCCTGATACCTTGTTTAAGCCACTGTGCCCAGTAAATGGGTTGATTATCAATTTGTATCTTAGGATTGTGCCATAAGGGTGCATATCTTTCAGTATTGTGGGACATTTTACATTTTTTATGTACTTCTCACCAAACTGCTTTTGAGTGTACCAGAATAGGATTCATCACGTTATTATCTTCCTTGTTGGTTGTCACCTGAGCTTCAATAGGTTTAAAAGGGGAGGTTAGTTCCTGCTCAATCAGGACCCAGTCCAGATCAGTATTTAAACCCTTCCAATGTTTCACGAGCTTTGACATTTCAAAATAAATACTATAATACTTTATATTGGGCAATGATAATCCTCCTCTATTTTTTGGTTGACATAATTTGTCCTTATTAATTCTAGGTTTTCTCCCATCCCAGAGAAAATGCTTTACCATGTTGTTATATATAAGTAGTAATTGTTGTGGAATGCATACAGGTATCATTCCAGTTATGTAATTTATCTGCGGGGCAACTATCATCTTAATCGTGTTCACCTTCCCCCACAGCGTCATGCGTAACTTACTCCATTTGTCCAAATGAACTTTACATTTGTTCAGTAGTTTTTCCATATTAGTATTCATAGTTACTCTTATATCCGAATTGAGTTCTATCCCTAGATACTTCATGCCATTTGGAAACCATTTCAAATCGAAGGTGGAGATTCTGAGAGCAGGTTTGAGAAACTGGCATGGCCAATTTGTGCCAATGAATACAGTAACCAGACACTTTAGAATATACTTCCATAACTTCTAAGAATGCTTTGATGGAGTTTGTCGGATCCTGACTCAGTAATAAAATGTCATCCGCGTAAAGAAAAAGCTTATGCTCCCTGCCACCTCCAGCAACTCCTTTTATTCTTGAATCCTCTCTAATCATTGCAGCCAACAGTTCAAGGAAGATTGTAAATAAAAGTGGACTGAGGCTGCATCCCTGGCGAGTTGGCAAATGCACTTTTTGACGTCTTTTAAACATAAATATGTGTCAGGGAACTCACGCAGCATCAGAAAACAAAACCCTCTCTCTTTTCCTCCGTACCCAAATCTTTAAAAACGGGGCTACAACGGAGCTGATCCAGATTTGCGTCCGATATGACGTAATATCAGAAATGTGAGTTGGCTTTACACCCACGGCCCTATCAGAAACGTTGCTATCAGAAACAATGCGTGATGTGTTTTGGAAGTAATATGGTCTTTGTTTACATTAGCAAGCATCGCTAACACTCAGAGCTAACCTGTACTGGAGAGAGCATGTGTAAAGAAGCAGGAAATAAAAGGAACTCACCTTGTGGTAAACCTGAGAGAGAGAAAGAGTTTGAGCTCCATACTGTTTCAGAAAAATCCTTGATGAGGTTTGGAACACAATATGGCTTCTAATCACGGCAGCGGTTCTCCTGCATCTCCCCCACCTCTTTTTCTTTTTTTTTAAAGCTACGGACCCCGAATCAGCAGTTCTCTAACAGGGCTGAAATAGAGGGGTATGAGGCTAGAGTGGGTGATCTGTTTGGTTTTTTGAGCAAAACACTTCATAGACATGTTTTTTTACCAATAATATATACCTAAAAATAGTATAATAGGAGACCTTTAAATGGTCTGACAGTTCATATCTGAGAGAACTGTGAAATAATCAGTATCACACTACTCAACAAAGTCAGGGTTTTTCATTTATGTGGCGAGGTGTGTGGGGAAAAAAACACACTTCTGGAAACAGTCATACTGAAAATAATAAGTTTTTCGGTCTGTGTTTTTGGTGGTGGAAGCCAGGTTCCAGTCCTGATTACATTGTGACTCTTTGTTTCCTCCGGTGTTCAGGGGGGGCCGCGGAGCAGAGCGGGCTGCAGCGGGGGGACGAGCTGCTGCAGGTGCAGGGGGTCAGTCTGCAGGACATGACCCGCTTCGAGGCCTGGAACATGATCAAGGCTCTCCCTGAGGGGGTCATCACTGCGGTGCTGAGGAAGGGGCCGGGCGGGGGGGGAGTGACAGCTGCTGGGAACGCTTACATGTGACATGGCTGGAGAAAAGAAAGAAGAAAACTAATAATGGTACCGAGCAAACAGATGTAGACTTTCAACAGTCTCATATCAGGTATCTGCCATCCAGTGTGAACTTCAAATGTTTATATTATTTTTATATCACATTCCTTATCCGATTTGAAAGTGTATTGCATTGTAAGTTCACCCAAATACCCCCATCTAAAGCCATCTAGCCTTTTAGTGAGATTAATCTACAGAGCTCACTGTCATTGTTTTACTTTCCGTAGCAATAGTGTTAGCTAATGTTAGCTTCAGATCTGTGGATTATCCTGCATAATGCTGCTGTGGAAAACGTATTTGTGTACACAAAAAAAAAATAATGCTCTCAAATTAATAAATGTGCACAGAAATGATTTAATGTTGTCCTTGAAAAACTGGATTTGTGTTCTCGGATTGAGGGATTGTTCTGTTACAGCTACATTTAGTATTGTTTGCATTTTCTGGGCTATTTTTTGTGTGCCTATTGTGCCTGGTCGTGGTCCCTCCTGCTATATTCGTTTTTGTAACAGCAATAATATTCGTGGGTGAATTTGACCCAGTGCATGTTTAATTATCCAAAAATGGTCAGAAGCCCCAAAATCCAGATTTTTTCTTTGTACATAGTTTGTACCTTTTATTACTATCAATGAAATCAATATTTAGTGCAATTGTGTTATTCACCTCTCACAGATCATGGTTCCATTAGAATAAGTCACCTGTTTTTCACAAAACATATACATTCAAACACATTTTTCTATTTTCTTTTTTACATTGGAAAAACCTTGATCTAAAATACATTAGTTTTGCATAACATAAACATTTTTAAATTACTTTTAAAATGTTCCAACTTTTTTTCCAATTGGTTGATGTTGATAAATAGAAACGAGACACCTCTTCTGTTCAGGGTCTTGACCCGTTCACTTAGAATCAAGCCAAATGAGTCATAAGGATTTGTATTGAAAGTATTTTATTGTAACAGCAATTAAGAACGTGTGTGTGTGTGTGTGTGTGTGTGTGTGTGTGTGTGTGTGTGTGTGTGTGTGTGTGTGTGTGTGTGTGTGTGTGTGTGTGTGTGTGTGTGTGTGTGTGTGTGTGTGTGTGCGTGCGTGCGTGCGTGCGTGCGTGCGTGCGTGCGTGTGTGTGTGTACATTTCTGACCCCTTTTAGCCTCCACTTTCACTGCCGGGTCAGACCCGAATACCATCTCTGTGATATAGACATGTAGGGGGGGGGTTCCAAATGCATGACATGAACCATTTTCATTTGACTTGTATATTGCACTAATTAAGGTAAGTAGAAGAAGTTTCACACAAAAAAAATACTTGAAAGTATTTTTCGTAGATTTTCAAACGGGTCAATTTGACCCTGAATGCAGGGTTGCTAACTCTCATGCATCTGGCGTGGGACACACACTTTCACTCTCAATCTCACGCTCTCACGCTGCCCAAACTATTCTCACGCCAAAAACAAGATGAACCGGCGATCGTTTTTGGCTGGTTATTTACAATGTTGAGTTGACAGCATTATTTGTAGTACTTCCATTTACTGACGATGGGGGCGCTGCATAACTACGTAGCCTCGATTAAAGCAAACAGAAGAAGACGACATATATCAACAAACCACCGCAGCCCGGACTTGTATCGGAGCAGCGGAGGAGTGATGAGGTATCTAGAGATCTGAGTCCAGCGGGCTGCTTGTGTTTCTGTTCATCAGGACATCATATGACCAGCAGATCCTGTGTGAACGCTCTACGTTAGTCAGTGGACGTCTATGGGCTCAGAACAGTCTCATAATACACACATGCACACAGAAGGATTCACACTTGTATTTCATGATCCGCAAAAGGATTCACACTTGTATTTCCGGATCCACACTTGTGTTTTTCAATGCACACACAAATGTGTTCCGTTTCATGTACATGTAAATAAAATCCAAATACAGAAAAAAGTTTTACATATGTATTTTTGATCCTCACATATTTGTTTTCCGTTTAAATCCCCTGCACCTGCAAACACAAACCGCTTTCTGTGCATGGATCGCTGTGCATTCGTGTGTGGGTTTTTTGAGACTCCCCTGACGGTGACCCAATTCGTACTTGTAATTTCTTTCATCTATAGCCAATCAGATGTCTCCTCCAGTATAAGCCAATCACATGAGCGCGCCCCCACGAGGGTATGATTTCTTACGTTCATGACACTTCATATAAGCATTTTGCGCTGTCCGGAGCAGGGTTTCCGCGGACAGAATTTATTTTACCGGACAAATTTGAAACTTACCGGTCATGTTTCAATAATAAGAAGAAGAAGAAGAAGAATTGTGTAGCAGAGTTTCCGACTATGACCGGATATGGCTAATAACACGGGAGTAACGGATCCCCTCTTTTCCTCTCTCCCTCCCTCTCTCCTGACAGCCCGTCAGTTTCTCATGCAGCTCGCTAAAACTTCACTCGCGTATCCACATCGATCAGATCCAGCTCTCCTGATCGGCCTTTATAGAGAGCACCGATCAAACTATTAAGAGTGAATATCGGCCGATAATGACCGGCGGGGGCTCCCCCCGTTGACAGTTCACTGTCTAGCACTGGCTTCGTAGTGCACTGATCGATCAGGCTAAGCTAACCTGTAGCTGCTCCCTCCACACTCACAACAACTTCATACAGACATAAATAAAGCAGCTGTATTCGCCATACAGGAAACACACATTTAAAACGGTTTTGCCTGCCGTTTTTGTGTACACAAGCCTTCATTAATGGTTCGGAAAGTGGCGCTGTACCTTAATAATATAAAGGCTTGTATTTGCGTGCATTTCCTGCTCGGAAAGTGGGAATGTACTGATAGTGGAAGTGTCCTGAGATTAGCGCCTGCAGGCTCCATGGACCTGTCAGCTCCGGACAGCGCAAAATGCGTACATGAAGCGCTACGTCATGAACGCAAGAAATCTACCCTCGTGGGGGCGCGCTCATGTGATTGGCTTAGAATTGAGGAGATATCTGATTGGCTATAGATAGAAAAAATTACAAGTACGAATTGGGTCACCGTCAGGGGTGTCTCAAAAAACCCACACACGAATGCACAGCGATCCGTGCACAGAAAGCGGTTTGTGTTTGTAGGTTCAGGGGATTTAAACGGAAAACAAATATGTGAGGATCAAAAATACATATGTAAAACTTTTTTCTGTATTTGGATTTTATTTACATGTATATGAAACGGAACACATTTAGTGTGTGCATTGAAAAACACAAGTGTGGATCCGGAAATACAAGTGTGAATCCTTCTGTGTGCATGTGTGTATTATGAGACTGTTCTGAGCCCATAGACGTCCGACAACATGCACACTAACTTATATTGCAGCTATAGGCTATACTTTGGTTTAAATTGCGTGAATAAACTAGCTAGAGCTAAAGTTAATTACATTCATCCAATGTCAGAAGGATTACCTTTTAACAAACGTTGTAATGCTTTTCTTTCATTTCAATTTGAGTAAAACATTGAAGATATAACATTGTATTGTTTTCTTTTTACACTGACTCAGATATAATGAAAAGACTACGTCAGTTGAAGCTCAGCTTTGGTAAGGAAGAGACAGGACAGGCAGAGAGAAAGAGAGAGAGAGAAAGTGATGGAAGTCAGGGAGGAACTGCAGGTACAGTCACACAAAAGAATGTAGGCTTAATAACCCCATCTACCTATCTATCTATCCATCTATCTATCTATCTATCTAGCGCCAGTGCCAGCCATCCATCTATCTAGCTAGCGAGCTAGCGAGCCAGCCAGCCAGCGAGAGCGAGCGAGCGAGCGAGCGAGAGCGAGCGAGCGAGCGAGAGCGAGCGAGCGAGCGAGGAGCGAGCGAGCGAGCAGCGAGCGAGCGAGCGAGAGATGCGAGCGAGAGCCAGCGAGGGAGCATCAGACAGCCAGCCAGCCAGCCAGCCGAGCGAGAGCGAGCGAGCGAGCGAGCGAGCGAGCGAGCGAGCGAGCGAGCGAGCGAGGAGCGAGCGAGCGAGAGAGCGAGCGAGCGCAGCACAGCCAGCCAGCCAGCCAGCCAGCCATCCAGCAGCCAGCCAGCCAGCCAGCCAGCCAGCCAGCCAGCAGCCAGCCAGCCAGCCAGCAAGCCAGCCAGCCACAGCCAGCCAGCCAGCCAGCCAGCGAGCGAGCGAGCGAGCCAGCGAGCAGCGAGCGAGCGAGCGAGCGAGCGAGCGAGCCAGCGAGCCAGCGAGCGAGAGAGCGAGCCAGCGAGCCAGCGAGCGAGCGAGCGAGCCAGCCAGCCAGCCAGCGAGCGAGACCAGCGAGGAGCGACGAGCAGCGAGCGAGCGAGCGAGCGAGCGAGCCAGCCAGCCAGCGAGCCGCGAGCGCGAGCGAGCGAGCGAGCCAGCGAGCCAGCGAGCCAGCCAGCGAGCGAGAGAGCGAGCGAGCGAAGCGAGCCAGCGAGCCAGCGAGCCAGCGAGACAGCGAGCCAGCGACCAGCGAGCCAGCGAGCCAGCGAGCGCGACAGCGAGCAAGCGGCGAGCCAGCCAGCCAGAGCAGCAGCGAGCGAGCCAGCGAGCCAGCGAGCCAGCGAGCCAGCGAGCCAGCGAGCGAGAGCGAGCGAGCGAGCGAGCGAGCGAGGAGCGAGCGAGCAGCAGCGAGCAGCGAGCCAGCCAGCGAGCAGCGAGAGGGAGGGAAGCCAGCGAGCGAGCGAGCGAGCGAGCGAGCGAGCGAGTGAGCGAGCAAGCGAGCGGAGCCAGCCAGCCAGCCAGCGAGCGAGCGAGCGAGCGAGCGAGCAGCGAGCCAGGGAGCGAGAGCCAGCGAGCCAGCCAAGCGAGCGAGCGAGCGAGGAGGGAGGGAGCAGCGAGCCAGCGAGCCAGCGAGCCAGCCAGCCAGCGAGGCGCGAGCGAGCAGATAGCAGCGAGATGCGAGCAGAGCCAGCCAGCGAGCTCGAGCGGCCAGCCAGCGAGCTGAGGAGCGAGCCAGCAGCCAGCCCCAGCGAGCGAGAGCGAGCGAGAGCGAGCGAGCGAGCGAGCGAGAGCGAGCGAGCGAGGCGAGCAGCGATGGCGAGCGAGCGAGCGACAGCCAGCCAGCCAGCGAGCGAGCCAGCCAGGCCAGCCAGGCCAGAGAGCGAGCGAGCGAGAGAGCCAGCCAGCAGCCAGCCGCCAGCAGCCAGCCAGCCAGCCAGCCAGCCAGCCAGCCAGCCAGCAAGCAGCCAGCCAGCCAGCCAGAGCCAGCCAGCGAAGCGAGCGAGCGAGCCAGCGAGCCAGCGAGCGAGCGAGCGAGCGAGCGAGCGAGCCAGCCAGCGAGCGAGCGAAGCGAGCGAGCGACGAGCGAGCGAGCCAGCCAGCGGAGCGAGCGAGCAGCGAGCGAGCAGCGAGCCAGCGAGGCGAGCCAGCGAGCGAGCCGAGCCAG